GGGTATTAATCATACATAGAGTTATTTAAAATCGCATAAATTAATCTTGGATTAAACAGACCCTTCAAAATCATCAAACAATTAAAGAGTTAGGTAGAGTTTCCCCTGGGTTTAGGCCATTTCTGTTTGATGTGACCAGATGGTGATTAATGTAACTTTTAAACAAGTCCTTCCCCTGTCGTTCCTCTGTCCAAGTACTGCTACAAGAGCAAGTCAGAACACCTTCGATGACCTAACTAAGGACTGGTATTTATTATTCTTTCCTTACAGGTTCCATACTTAATTTAAGCTGCAGAAAATGTAATTATTAGATGACTATGTATGTATATATTTGTGTGTGTGTGTGTGTGTGTGTGTGTGTGTGTGTGTGTGTGTGTGTGGCGGGTTGTGTGTCGTGTTGGGGGGACGTGGGGACGTAAATTTCTTTGCACATTTACATTGTGGGAACTTGACATCCTTATGGGGACAAAAAGCAAGTCCCCAAAACCTAAATAAGTACATTTTAGAGTGATGCCTTGGTTTAAGGTTGGGGGAGCATTAGGTTTAGGCAAGCTGCGGTAATGGTTAAGGTTAGAGTAAAGCTTGATTTATGGTTCTGCGTTGAATCTACGCTGTAGGTACAGCATAGGTAGCACATAGCCTCATACGCTATGCCATAATCTACTTTTTAGCTTGATGGGCACCTCCAGAAATGTAACTATATGTCGTGGTGACGCAGACGGCAACAAATGTGATTGGTTGCATTACATTTTTTCGTTCATATCTCTCATAATAGACAAGCATGGGAATTCCCGCCTTGTTCTTCCTCAGTCGGTTCAGTGGTCGTACAGACCATCTCCTCTGACGTCTTCCCTCTTAACTGCACTTTAGTAATTTCAGTAAATGTAACTGCTGTTCACCATCTGTTAGTCTTAACTCCAAAATGAAGTGAAGTACAGTGAACAGAGCCCCATGATGTGGGGCTGCTTTGCTGTTTCTGGGTCTGGGCGGCTTGCCATTGTGGAAAGGGAAATGAATTCCTAAATTTTATCAGCGTATCCTACAGGATGATGTAGCTTGCCATTGTGGAGAGGGAAATGAATTCCCAAATTTATCAGCGTATCCTACAGGATGATGTCAGGGTGGCTGTCTGCAAGCTGAAGCTCAGAACACCCTGGGTGATGCAGCAGGACAAAGACCCTAAACATCAAACTAAATCTACTACAGAATGGCTTTAAAGACACCAAGTCCACCTTTTGGAGTGGCTCAGTCAGAGCCCAGACCTCAGCTCAATAGACATGCTGTGGAATGACCTCAAAAGAGCCGTTCACACCAGACGTCCTTGGAATATGGCTGAGCTGAAGTACTTCTGTAAGAAAGAATGGTCCAAACTTCCTCCTGAACATTGTCCAGGTCTAATCCACAGCTACAGGAAGCGCTTTCTTGAGTTTATTGCTGCCAAAGGTGGTTCAGCCAGTTATTAAAACAGTTGCCATCACTTTTTCCATTATCACTTTTTAGCTTTAATGGGTGCGTTCAATAAAGCCCATTTAGTGGCTGTTGTGTTCTGGAGCTTTATATCAAATGACACTGTCTAAAAAGTTTACTATAGCTTTGTAAGAAAGATCAGGCCTAACCTACAGTTTCAGGCACAAAAAAACTTGCAGTGTGTGCTTGACCTGAGGTAGTACTGTTTCCACTGTGTCCTGGCATGTGTGAATGTGGTATGACAAAGCACGTGCCTTCATCCAGGTCAAAGTCCAGCAAATGTCTTTGGCCTGTCAGGGTTAATTTCTGGAGCAGAGGTGGAGAACTGGGTTTTAAAATCATCAGTCAGGACTTCCTTCTTTATTTCTGTGTCACTCCCTCTGTAGTGAGGCAAAGAAGCATGATGGATGAGATGGATATTCAGCACATAGGGGTGCCCAGGAGCATCCACTCCACCTGTCTCTTACTGACACACACATGCTTGCACTGATATGATAGTAATTAACCTCAGACTGTGTTAACCCCAGCTGCCCATTAGAAGGACAACAGGATGGATGGTGCTCCCCCAGTCCTTCGTAGTCTCTACAGCATGTGCAGGATTAGCGCACGCTGTAATGTGTTAACATGTTCTTTTAAAATATACAGCTACACTGCATGTAATGTGACTGTAGCCATATAAAGGGGGCAGATGCAATATTGTTTTAAAAAGGGGGTAACTGCAAATTTCTCTCCAGGAACAAGGCAATTGTAGTGATTGTTTACATGAAGAGTGCCACAAATAGTTGAATGACATGGAAAAAAAGAGAGAATTTCAATCCTTGGATCCTTTCCCACCTCCACATAAATACAGCAGGTGTAAATGTTGAGTGATAACTCATTTCGTAAGCATCTGTCATCAGAACAGTGTGGGGGGGAGGGGGTTTTAAAGCTGTATCACAAACAGTTTGGATAGAAATATAAAACCAGCTTAAGACTCTACAGCACTGTTACTATTTGGTATGGCACAGTGATAGCTTTGAGCTAAATGCTAACAACCAGGTACTAACAGGAGGCTCACAATGACAATCCTAACTTGTGATGCGAAGCAGGTACAACCATGTTTAGCATCTTGGTATCACATGTTAGCACTAAACACAAAGTACAGCTGAGGCAGATAGGAATGCCATTACTTTAGAACAGTGACGTGCGGTGAGGTTGACAGCTGGTGAGGCACTAACTTTTTTACAGTCAGATTTACAAATACAAATTGTCTGTTAACAGACAATGCGTTATGTTATACATCTCATATCTGCATTCTTCACACAAACGTGACCCATATTTAATTTGAGGTTAAAATTTATTCCAGTTGAGCTTATTTCTAACTAGAAATAATAAAAGTTTATGGTCTTACCTTTACTTGTACACGACATCCGTTTGTCAGCTGGTATGTATTACAAACCCTTTTACCGTTCGAATCCAATATTAAAACAAATGTTCTCAATAAAGAAGATCCTTCTGGACAAAAATTTGATTGTTTTGATTGAAAGTCCAGATTTGCGAATTTTCTCAGCTTGGGAATGTAATCTTCCATTTTGATAAGGCGAATTGTAAAGGAAATATAAACAAGCACGAAGAAGATTGTAGGTAGCACAAGAATCTGTGGGCTCACTAGCGCCCTCTGCCTTGAGTCAGGCGTACTGTTTGCCTCACTGAGTAACTGATTACACGATCCACCGAGAGGCACAGCCAAGTGTTGGCTCATCGCGCATCTCCTCCATGTATTTGAACGGGACATACGGGAATTCTGCTATTCTTTATTGAAAAAAATTCCTTCAACATCGGATTTGAACGGCAGAAGGGCCTACAGCACACACCAGCCGACAAATATTAACATTTATTATATTTTATGGTTAACTTTTTTTTCTTTTCAAGATTGACAGGGGAGGCTCTGCCTCACCTGCCTCCCCTGACCGCACGTCACTGCTTTAGAAAGTATTCAGCCATAAACCAAAGTAGTGAAGAAATAAAAATCTTTACCTGAAAAGTCAGGGGATCTAAATGTTCATCCTGTGAGTGGTATGAATGTATGCACCAAATTTCATGGCAAGCCATACAATCGTTGCAGTGCATTTATTATTTATTTTGAGAGTTCTAATTGTGACTCTGGATAACGGAGCAGAAGTCTTTGTCCACAGGTCTAGCCCTACTCACATCCATTGCATGACCATGGTTTATTCAGGAGGGTTAGGGGACATGGGTGGGGCTGGACGTCCAGCCCTACCTTCCCACGGCCCACAGCCAGTACCCTCTCAATCTCTCTGCAGTGACTGATCTTCTTACTTTGACCTCGACTCCTATTAGTGTCTTGTTGTTAAGGACAGATATTGTTGAAATCACTGTTGACAAGTTCATTTAAACTGGAAGGCCACAGCGTTCTTTGTCTAATTGGACACCTAGACTCCACAAATAAAATTCATGGTCAGCCTCAGTTGACTTGTCTCAATTACAACCGCCCCCTCACACCTCTGACCCTTTGGTGACCTCTGTGACCTCTGGAAAGTCCTGCAGATGAGGCTGGTGATTGGGATTGTTGTCACTGAGATATCACATGTGACAGCTCTGTTTCAACAAACAGTGCCAACATTTAACAACTTGGTGAGCTACCACTCAACAGACTTGTCATGTTCATGGGCTTTCAAAAACTGTTATTGGCACTTAAGAATTTTCTTTGTTATAAATCTGAAGAGTATTTCGTCAGTCATTTTTGAATGGTTGTTAGTGCCACTGCTACATTTTATTACAAAGTTCACTTTAACAGTCTGTTATAACTCATGTAGACCATTAAACTCCAAAGACGTTTCTCTAAAATGCCCTGACAAGCCATCACTTAAACATTTTGCACATAAAACCATATCTGCTGGACATTAATATTTAAGTGGGATTAAGGATGTTCCTGTTTAATTTAGTTTCCCTCTATTTTATTATTATTTCTTGAATCACGATTTAGAACAATTATTCAAATAGAACTGAACAGCACACTTCACATTAAGATGTAATAATGTTTGTAGCTCCGATCTGTCTGATAATAAAAATAACGCTGCAGAACGGGTCTAAACATTTTTTGATGGCTGTTAGAATATCATTTTTATGACAAAGCTCATTACCTGCGTGTTTACAAACAGTTCATCTTTACAATTGATGACAGTTAATCTGAAGGTCATATGTATGGAGCAAGGTTAGTGGCAGCAGATATTTAATAAGTGCTTTTATATGAAATTTAATGCAAAATGGGGGGGGAAATTAAACTTAGTCAGGTCCACTTTGTGCCATTACATTTCATTTTAAAACTTGTCATACATTTTGACTTTTTAATTAAATAATTTTTTTGTATTTCATTATCGTTCAAATTGTAAATTCCTTTAAATGTACTAATGTTGTTCTGAAGATGTGTATTTAGTCCATATGCAAAAAAAATGAAATCCAGAATGTTCACTGTCAGGTGTTTTTTAAATAAAGATTGTGTAACACTTGTGTCTTTCTCTTCTCCTCTTTAGGATCACGCCTTCATCGTTCAGTATAATGATGGCAATGCAGAGGTGGTGTCGATGTGGGTTTGTCGCTGTCTGGAGGAGAGGCGAGCTCAGCAGGCTCAGGGTCGCATCTGACGCTCTCCTGCCATCCGTCCATGGTGGACCAGAATGTTTGATCCCAAACCTTGGACACTTATCAAAGACTTCCGGGTCAAGTATGTCCATACAAGTGAATTTATGTTGCATGGACAAGTCACCCGATGTGAAATACTTTGTGAGTAGTTTTTATTTAACAGTATTAATGCGCCGTGACAATGAGGAACTCGCATCCTTTGAACGGAATATTAATCTCTGCATCCAGAAAGCGCAGATAAATCTGTGCTTTCCTCACTCACAGCTTGGTCCCCATGTTTTTCAGGAGTATACAGAAATGCAGTGAGCATCACAGTCTGATGAATGGAGATAAATATTTTCCTAATTTAAAGGATCAGGAGCATTAAACAGTGTCAAAGCACAAGACTGCAGTACCCTGGCAGAGCTGTGCTGTTTCTAGGATGGTGTCTCAAATAACCGCCTTGTGCTTTACTGTTGGCAGCCCTCTAGTGAATGTTAAGGTTTTTGCCTGTGACTAACTGCTCATGTATGTGCCTGTTTTTCCACTGGTGTCAATTTATTACCTCAACAAATTTAGGTAATTACCTGAAATAGCAAGATTTCTCCCCATAATGTAGCGATTTTCATCTTGTGGAATAGAACATGTATGCGGTTATTCCCAACTCTGTGAGGTAGGGAGTTATTTGAATAGTTCCAGTGAGTCTGAAGCAGCTCTACAATGTTACACAGCGGACTGAAACATTGACATGTCTTTGTTTTTATTCTTGAGCTCACTGAACAGACAATTTATTTTTCACGTTCGGCAGGAGGAGCCAGGGTTTATTTCTGTTTAAACCCGTTCTTAACTTGGCTGCGTGTCCTTTCTTTCCATTTTTTCCCAGACATGCCTGTCATTGAATGTCACTGAATAAAATGATGGACAGGAAGTCTCCACTTTCATTCAACAGCTGTTTGTTTTTCTAGAAACCATTAAGAATTGTAAAGACCACAGACAGTTGAAGCAAAACCTCTCAAGAACCTGTTTCAAGTTTTATCTACTGTCACGAGTAAATTCTTACTTTATCAAGATATGTACTGTATAGAAATTCTGCCTTTTATTGGATTACCCAGTGAGTAGAGGGAAAACACTATACCTAACACCAAAGACCATTGACAAGCCAAATGGTTTATTATATGGATTTCTCATGACTAAGGCAAAGATAATGGCTTAAGTGACTAACATGAATTGATTCGACAACCACTTTATGTGCAGCTGACGAAATTTATAAAGCTTAAGTGCAGTTAAATGGTATTTCCACAAAGGCACCATAAATGCAGCCTTCGGTGGCACATGTACAGTGTGAGAATGTAACAGCAGAACATCTGTGTAGCTGAAAAGGCTTAAAACACCAGTTTATTATACAAGTGATGTGTGGTCTCTTCAGTGCCCTGTTTTTTCACCTGCTATGATGAGGCGACATGGATAGGTAGACCTCATTCACTGGCCTTTTAACAGTAAATCATCCAAAACATGGGCCCAATTTTGTTGTTTGTAGAGCAAATAAACGTGCTCCATCATGTCATTCAAAATTTGGGAACTCATTATTTTGCATTTAATATTCAGAATGGGTCCTTTGTTGTTTTTTTGTTTTGTTTTGTTTTTTTTTTTGCTACCTGAAGTAACATGCTTTTTGATTTAAGTAATGCTTTTCTGTACAGGAAATAGTAGAAATATTTAAATCTCAAACTTGTGTCCCAGCTCCAAACTACATACTAATTCTAATCAGGTTTTGAATATGTAGTGGATGTATGCATAACTAAATGAATGTATTCAAAAATCCAAGTGGCCATACATATCTGCCGGGGGGAGGGATGTTTGTTTGTTTTGGTTTTTGTTCTTTTATTGTTTTCGTGGGTCTATTTAACGGCACTGTCATCACTTGTTGTTAATGAGTCTTAAAAACAAGAAAATCAAATTTGACAAAAGAAAATTATTTTGACTCAAGGTTCACTTACAAGGTTTTTCCAAAACTAAGAAGACCACAAAAGGCAGTTTGAATGTCGCGGTTAAATCTAGCATTTTGTCAGGCTGCAGTTTCCAAGGTCAAGAATGAACATTCGCCCTCGGGACAAACATGTTTCTTTCTTTTGAAGATTCACAGTTTTATATCACTGTGAGTGTTCAAATCACAGTTCGTCCATCTGCACACATTTTGTATAATTTATTTTACAAGAACCAAACTATTAAATAAAATACATGTATGCTTCCCACAGTTATGTGGATTTCTGTGCACTGTCATTCATTTTCAGTAAAATGTTAATATTGCTCCAGTAATTGAACTCAAAATTTGAAGATGTTCATGTGCAATTAAATGTTATATGTGCATTTGTTTTCCAGTGGTTGCACAAAGAACATTATGTGTACTCTGCCTCAAAACACATATATTGTCAATTGTATTCATCAAACTCACTTTGGGTAAGTCCAGTTCTACTGTACTGTTGATACATCTGTGAGAATTGCACCTAACATTAAGCTGGGCTAAAATGTAACCAGAGGTATAAGTACTTCAGTCTGGTAAAGGAAATAGTCGGAGTGCGGTGGTCGTTGACTGATGATTGCAAATGTTATACAATTTATTCATGCAACTCAAAAGAAACAGAAGAAAACCATTTATTTTCTCAACAGATGTACTAGAGTTTGGCGATATCCTCATTGACTGAGTTTTAAATATGAATTTGTCATATCAGTGGGAACACACACGCACATATATATTTGTTTTTTGTTTTCAGCCTGCAGAGATCATCTCTTGTGACTCTTGTCCTGTTATTTTTTTCATATTTTTGTGTAAACCACAAAGCATCAAGCTAGTAATGGGACTCAGCAGAAATATTAGTGCTGTGATGTTACTGGCTGATTATGGCCTTTTCTGTAATTATCTTGTCGGCACATATTCCAACAGTAATGCTCAAATAAAATGTATTTAAACAATCATTTGGGTTGGTTTAAGATTTTGTTGTTCACTCATGAGATTATTCACTATATTCATGTACCCAGTCTTTATGATTTTGTTTTTGATGTTGTTTTCTTTGAGGGTATACTCTGTTTATCAGTTAAGCTGCAGTGCTCTGAGTGTCAGTATAAATTCACATTCATTTTGATACATTTCTGGCTTCTTATCACCACCGCATTTCTTTTAAATAGATCACTCTGTAGATTAACCTTCTCTGTCCTTTGAATAGTTCACACTTCTATACATTAAAGGGCTAGTCATTCTTTGCATGTCCACTGTGGTTGAGTGATTTAATTTTCTTCATCTTCCCAGGTCCACAAGGGTCCACATGGACTCTGTGTGTATGTCCGTGTGCAGGCCAAATGTTTGTGTCCACCCGGACGGACTATCTGTACAACAAAAGCCCCAACTGTACGTGTACCACAATGCCTTGGATATCATGGGTGTACTCAGGCCAAAGGCACACCCTCGATTTGAAGTATGAACAGGAAAGTATGTGCATCCCTTGTTCATGTCCGCATACGCACAACGGTATGTGCAAAGTGTAAAATATGGCCTTTAGAAGAAAAAGAATATTACTGTACATCTGGAATGTTCGGTTTTTGTTTAAACGGTTATGAAATGACTACTTGTGGCTTGAAAAAAATGCTTCTTATTACCTTCACTAGGATGCAGGTCAGGCTTATTTACAAACCGTACTTCGACAACACAAGGTAGAGAAGCTAGAATAACACTAGAAGGGCTGTAAGCAGCAGCCGTTAATATTTTGAACTGGAGGTGGCACAGTGGTGCTGTGCTTACCACTATCGCCTCATAGCAAGGAGGTTCCAGGCTTGAACCTCATGGCCCACTGAGGCCTTTCTATGTGGAATTTGAATGTGGGTTCTCTCCAGGTACTCCAGCTTCCTGCCACAGTCCACAGATATGGACATTAGACTGCTTGGCAACTAAATTGTGAGTGAGAGTGGTTGGCTGTCTCTGTGTGTCAGCCCTCTGATAGACTGGCAACGCCAAAAAGGTGTACCCTCCCGTTTGGCTGGGATCGGATCCGGCACGTACTGCAGCCTCTCAAGTGATCATACAGCTGAATCTAGAACAGTTTTAACAAAAACTGAACGTCATCTTCAGGAAGGCAGATTTATCACAGGACTCCTCTGTTAGTCTGCATTTGTTTTAGCTTGTTGTACCTAATAAACTGCCAAATGAGTGTAAAGTACATACAGCCAGCTTGATAGTGTTTTTGGCAAAATTACCACATCGACACTTGGCCACCAGTGCGGTGTTGCCCCCACACTTCACATGGCTCAAAGTGTATAGAAAAATGATGGTCTGTTCATTAACACTTTGATATTTGCATGTCTTTGACCCAAACCTGTAAGCACCTTGTTCTCCTAAGTTCAAATACAATTTGCATTTCATAATTAATCTTAGTCAGCCTTTAATTAACACTAGCCTTATTTCTGGTTATTAATTTGTTCATTAACCTGTGGAAGGTAGTTCAAGGTACACAAATATAGTCTGATGACAGGATTGTGTTGTTTTTCCTCTGAGAGCATCAAGGACATCCCACGTTTTCTTTTTCCACAGATTGATTCATCTTGAAAAGGAAATGTCTATTCTAACCGCACATATCAGAGCCAGTAACTCTCAAACTCAAATTGTGATCTGCCTCTGAACGTACATACTAAGATGTACATACCACTGAATTATTGGTTTATAATGCAAAATTAAAAATATTTCCATAAATTCCACAACTGCCAAGATGAGGTAGGCCATAACTCTAAGGTAAACACAATCATTAGTCATTCAATGTTAAGAACGTCTCGACGTGAAGACCGACACGTGGCCGATTTTAATTTGTTTAGAAATATGCTTTGAAATAGAGGCCAGTCTACCAAAAGCACTATATCATTCTAAATAGCAGTAATAGAAAATCTCGGGGTAATGAGTGTGTGTTTTATTATGCTTCTGCAACGGCAATAGCCACAGCCAAAGGCATTAGGTTTTCTGATTATCCGTCTGTCCGTACATCCTTACATATGGCTAGCCCATTCTTTTGAACACGAGGAAATTTTTTTGATTTTGGCGCGTGTCCATTTGGACTCAAGCATGAACTGATTGGGTTTTGGTGGTCAAAGGTCAAGATCAGTGACCTTATGTTTGTCCCACTCCTGTGAGTTTGACTGGTTGGCGTAGGCATCGAAGCGCAAAGAGATCCTTTTTGTTATCTCTCTGGTGTTTTCTTTTTGTGTAGGTATATTCATGTTTGTGTGTAAGTGATGCTTTATATAAAAATTTTTGGTTTTCTCATGTTTTCAGAATGAAGCAGAAGCACAGAGTCAAGCATCTCTACAACTTACTTAATGAATTGCGATGAAATTTTGTACAGATGTTTGTGTTCCCCAGAGGTCGAATCCTACTACCTATCCCCTGGCTTCTCCTCTAGCGCTACCATGAGGTTGGCTATTTTTGTTCAGAGCAAAATATCTTGACAGCTGTCGGGTCATGTGCATTATAATTTTATATATACTGTACATTCATGCTCCCATTAGGATGAATCATTATCATTATTTGGCAATGCACTGACCTTTTGTCTAGTTCCATCACCGGGTTGCATGTCAGACTAGCTGCTTCCCCGCCTCCAGCCTCATGCTAAGCTAGGCTAAATTCTGCCAGACTTCAGTTCCACATTTGATATTTACTTCTTAGAATGTCCTGTTCAGTCTACAACATGGAGACTTGTTCATAAAGCTGCAAAATTTCACATGAATGTTGGTGCAGTTCAGTTTTATTTTGCATCAAAGAAGTTTGCAGTATTTCCACCACTGAGTAGATGTTATGTGAAAAAAAACATTCTTGCTAAACATGACTTTAATGTCCACACTGAGAAGAAAGCAGAAATTTGCAGTAACTCTGTCATGTTGCTAATAGCGACAAGTCACAGCAAGTTTTTACTTTATGGGTTCAAACTGCTGCTAATTAATAGTCTGTCAGCCTTTGTGGGGTTTGGTAAACAGTTCAATGTAAATCAATAGCTGAATTGATTTCTGGCTTCCTGGTATCATCGCCTTTTACAAGCCTGTCAGTTCATTTTGTGTATAAAACACAACCAGTGATTACAGAGGCTGTTTAATTTTAAGTAACATTTTTTAATTACTAAATATTTTTCACATAATATCTCAGACCTCTCTTCTCTCTTGAGCTGTGATCTCAGGAAAACAAGCAAATGTCAACATCACAAAACTTTTTTCTTGCAGTATAAAAGTAAATAAGCAAGTCTCATATTTACCTGTGTCCTTGTTGGGATCCACATAGACCTGAGGCTTTAATAGATGTTTGTTACTTACTGCTAGTCGCACTCTGTTCTTTAGTCAGATGTTACACAAGTTATTTATGCAAGTTTCTGTGTGAATGTACAGTAGCTAAACATCCATTGACACACAGGCTGACTGAATAATTATGGTGCTGTGTGTAACATGAAGCACCTCAGGACCCTGACACACCCCGAAGCAGCATGTAGTCAGTCTGAGCTGATGTGCTGCATGTAGTATCAACTCTTTAAAAGAAGCCTCACAAATCAGAAGGACAAGCGGTGTGATTTCAAAGCTTGTCTATATTTTTATATTTTGCTTATGCAGAAATTTGTTCACTGCTTTATTTGATCTTTGACTAAATGCCGGCTTAAACAGAAAAGTGATCGGAACTTTAGAAGTACTATTTTATTTTTTAAATCAACCTTGTGCACCTGCTGGCCGATCAGTAAGAGTTGCTGCCAAAAAGGGGCTTTTCAGAAATATGGACAGCGGACTAAAACTTCTTGTAATGGTCCGTTCCTAAAATCCTGAAGTCTACTCTGCCCCCTTCCAGAGTTGGCCAGGAGTGCTTATTTTAAAATGAGCAGGATTGTCTTCTGTTTGGCTCATGTCTGATCTGCTAGCTGTTCAGCTGCCACTCTCATGCATAGCTTCAAAAACCTTTTAAATACCTTTTCCAGCAACAAATACTTCTGGGAATCTAATAAAATGCTAATTTCACCATGTTAAAAAGCTTAGAGTGCCTATGTTAACAGTCTGGTATCCATTGGGTGTAATGTTTATCCTGTTTATTGGAATGTTAGCATGCTAACATTTTCTAAATACAGCTGAGGTGATGGAGGGAATGGCACTAGTTTTCCAGGTATTTGGTCATAAACCACTAAAGTACTGGAAAAACTGGCTGTCTGTCTGTCGAGAACTAATACACATGAGCATGTGAGTATTTTATTTATTTATTTTATGAATTTTTTCTAACAGGGGGCCCCACCTCCTTTTATTCTTAAGCCCCAACCAGATTAATATGTAACAATTGAACATTATGAATTGATTGTAGTAAAAGTGGATCACCATTTTGTGTGTAGGCCACTAAAAGTGATTGTCTGTCTGTCTGTCTGTCTGTCTGTCTGTAGCCTTGTGTAAAACCCTTTGGATCAAACAGTTGAGTTAAGTTCAGTGATTCTGTATTTCCCCACTAGATTTGCAGCCTACACCTGTCCGTGTGCAAAAGGCTCAGTTACCACAATTCACAAGCGTCAGATGATATATGGTTGTGCTTGATGTGACCTATAGTGATAATATGTCTGGAATGAATATTTGGATGCTCCATGATCTCATCTGGCGGGCCTCTCTCCGGGATATTGACCTCGCATTGTTTGGAGATGCGTCTTCATCTCTGACAGTCCGGGACCTTATATTCCCAGAGTCCCACCGCGCTGCGTCCCCGCTTTGTATCGGCCCATGACCTTTTTCTAGAGCAGTCCGAGTTGATTAGCACATCAGGCGGGACAATGAGTGGCCGCCCTGTACGCAGCCATTACCCACATCCCTTTGTCAATGTCATGTAATTAAAATGTCACCGTTTAATTCTCGAGCCATCGCTTTCCTCTCGGCACAATCTTTCCTCCAATAAAAACTGCAATCGAAATGCTCTTTTCA